CTTTTTATTTATTTGTTATTTTGGATCCACTATTATTCTGGCCCTTTTAGAATAGCAATAATACCAAGAACCTGTTTTCTGAGCATGAATTCCGGAGCAGACTCTGTACTAAGGACTATTAACATGTGCTAAGTGCTTTGTATCTTCACTTAATACTCTCAACCCAGGAGCAGGCTGTTATCCATGATTTTAACTTTACAAGTGAGAAACAGAGGCCCAGGGAGCCACCTCCAGTCATTGGAGCCACCTCCATTCATCAAACACATTCGAAGATGCTGTTTCTGTTGGGTGGACCCAGTCCTCAAAGGGATGCATGGCTTGTGATTTCAGTCTTGGAGGGTTTCTTGGAGCCAGGAGGTTTGAAAAGTTAAATTACTTGCTTAGTTTCACAGTCTAGGAGTGTTAGAACTGAGAGTTGAACCCGTCTTTCCCCCATAGATGGAACACTGATACAACCTACCACTTTAAGTCAGATCCTAAATTGATTTATATAGGAGATGAATGAGAACATTTTCCTGTAAAAGGCAGTAGTAAGTAGTCAGGCTCTGAGGGCCACATCCTCTGTGTCCTAACTACTCAACTCTGTTCCTGCAGCACAAAAGCAGCCGTAGACAGTGTGGAAACACACAGCTGGGCTGTATTTGATAAAACTTGGCACACTGGAATTTGAATTTCATGTAATAGATTCTTCTTTTGACTTTTTACCCAGCTATTTAATAATGTCAACCACACACACACACACACACACACACACACACACACACACACACATAAAACCCACTCATTTTTAGCTTGCAAGGGTTGTATAAAAATAGATGGGCTGAATTTGGCCCTTCGGTCATACTTTGCTAATTCCCGATAGAAGATATTTCAGAAGAATCCAGTAAAGGAAATCATCAGCTATTCTGTGACTATTTTTTCTTCCCCTACCTCTGAATTCATAGAAACAATATTATGGGGACCTGTTTACCCTTTTAAGTGGTTGTTGTGATTAGTTATTATGTAGATAGTACATGTTGTTCATGTTTTGAAACATAAAACATTCAATATTTTTAACAATTATTTTATTTAACTTTATTTATATTTCTTAATTTGACCAGAGAGGGACAGAGAGGGAGAGAGAGAGAGACAGACAGACAGAGAGACAGAGAGAGAGAGAAAGTGAGAAATCAAGCTGCCAGGTCCAGGACTTGAACCATGGTGGACCATGTGGGAGTCTGGCACCCTTAACCACCATGCCACCTGCTGGCCCCATTCAAAAGTTTTAAAACTTTTGTGTGCTTTTTCTTGCCCATAGTTCTTTTGCAAGTACACTAGTGACCTTGGTTCATTTTTATACTCCTGTGAGTTGCTGAACTAGAATTTTGATTATATTTGGCAAGGTTTTTAACTATATAACTTGCTCTTAATGGAGAAAAGGAAATTAGATGCAGGTAAAATTTAAAAATGTACTGTGTTTAGGATGACTACAAAATATGTCTCTTATACCCTGACATCAAGCTCAAGTTTCTGGTATGCACCCAGTAACCCTTAAAAGAACTTTTATTTCTTAGCCTTGACTGACATTTGGGGATTGACTCAGATGGGAGTTCTCACTATCACCTGAGTCTGTGTAGGTATCTGAAGAGGCTCCCTGTTCAGCACTCCTCTTAGGGAGAATGGATGCAACAAATGGTCAATGGAAATGTCATCTAACAAACACCCATTAATCCAACAAATGGCCAGTTCTCTCTGTAATAAATTATAGCTTTTCAGAAACCTGCATTTAATTTTTCAAGGAAATTCAGCTGTTTCAGGCGTTGCTCAGTCCCTTTAAATTCTATGCTCTAACTACAGTGGTCTTTTTCTAAATCTTAGAAAAATCCTGCTGTTTCCCTTCTCCATCCATTCTTATGTTTCCTAAAGGAGGATCTTTAGAACCCCAGACTAAGTTAGTTCTACTTTCTCGTCTCCATGGCCTCTCCTTCCACAGTCTCACAGTTATTATTTGTTCAAGGTTTGTCTAATCTTCAGGCTTCACAAAGACTTTTCCCTGATTGTAGCCTCCGTACCTAGTTAATTGCCTAGTGTGTAGTAGGCCCTCATCAAATGTTTTTTTTTTTTTTTTGAATGAGTGAAAAAATACTTTTTGATTCCAGCCAAATATGTTTATTTATTCCACTTAGATCAAGAAAAATGACATTGGAGGGATGAAGATGTATTATGATTATTTTTTTGAGCTCTTTAAAAAGGGCTGTGCCTAACTGAAAGTGAGAATCTTCTAGTTTCTGTCCACAATGCAGAACTCCATGTAATCATATCTACTTTCATATTCTTCTTCATCTGACTCTTAGGTCTGTGGTTTTGAGCATGGTATCTGTTCACAAGACTGAAGTGTATATGTTTGACCTTTCCTTAATTTGTTTTTAAGTTACATGAACAATGAAATCGCCTCCCTTTCATGACTGATGTCCCCCATGCTCTGATTATGCTCTGGCAGTTGAAACAAAGGAAATGGGAAAGCCTGAATTTGTATCCAGTTAACTGAGATAATGTCTGGGATCTGTGTATCCAGCGACCGTGTCTTATAAATATATGGCAAGGTTGGGTTTTTCCATCTTGCTTAGCTTAAATATAATAGATAGTGGGTCTTTTGGTCTTCAAAAAATGCACTGTTTAGTTTTTCTTTTAAGAATTCTTTATTTCATTTTATTTATTACCATTATTTTTTAATTTGACCAGAGAGAGATGGGGGTGGAGAAGGAAGAGAGTGAGAAAGCAAGCTGCCAGGTCTAGGACTCAAACTGTGATCGACTGTGTGGGAATCCAGTGCCTCGACCATCATGCCACCTGCCAGCCCTGCATAGTTTCGTTCTGTGAGACAAATCTTTGGTATTAGTTGAGACGACAATATTGTATACCTGCCAATGGAAGTGGATAATGTTGTGTCAGTGCTCTTAATAGGAGCGTTTTTGTGAGGGAAAATCAAAGATCTTCAGTACCCGTCAGGGCCAGTCTACTTGCTTTGTATTCTGTTAGCGCAGTTTTTCAAATTTCCTGTTCATGGCATGTGCATAGAAAGAATACAGTAACCACTAAATTTTAGCGGTTTCATGGCCTCTGGTTGCATGGCTTCTAGTTCTTATTTCTGAACACAGGGTGTGAATTCTAAGAAAAGGGGAAGCCAATATCCATGGAACCCTCTTGAAAGATGTATGGCACAGCTAATGGTGAGCCATTTCCACGCATGCTGTGGCGAAATGCGCGTATGGGAAAGGCCTGGTGGGGAGTGTTGTATTCAGTCTGTACAAGGACAGTCACAGATTGGGAGTATCTTACTTGAGACCTCATATTTGAAGATGAGATGAAGAACAGTTACACTTGGGGCCAGCCCGGAGCATGGTGGTTAAGGAGGCTAGATCCCCCAGAGCTGAATGTGAGGTTTGAGTCCTGGACCTCGTAGCTTGAAAAATATACTAGGTGTATGTGCATGAGTGCTTCGTATGACTTTCTTTTCTTGTATTCTTATTTGCCCAGATTTTAGAGTTTAATGTAATTAAGCCTGTGGAGAATAGCATGATTTGTTTATGAATATTTAGAATTCTGTGTAGAAAGAAGTACTTTGGATATTTTCCTAAGTAGTGCAATATACACTCTGAATTGTTTTCTTTGACTTTGAGAATGGAACACTTCAATATGTGCCTGGAAATTCCTATATGGTATTTTTCTTCTTTCTTCTCTTTTCATTTTTTAATCCTCTGAATTATTTCCCATTATAAACAAAACAAACACAATACGAAACACTACTACTGGGGGATGACAGCGAGCAGGGTTTTGGGAGAGAGACCTTGTTCCTTTGGCAGTTACCTCTACAATAAAAGCTCAGTAAATGCTCTCTTTTTTTGGTGTTTTTTAGTCTTTGGGTTCATTCAGTAAATAATTTTTAAATATTAGGCATAGAGTATACAGTGGTGAGTTGGTTAGACATAGCTTTTGACCTCCTGGCTCTCACAATGAATTGTGGCAGAACAGAGAAATTAAACAAATAATCACAAAACGCATAACTAAGTTATGAATTGATTGCATTTTGCTAAAGATGAAAACATAGACAACTATGAGTTGTATAAGCAGGAGGGGTATCCTCTTATCAGAGGGTCCAAGGAAGGCTTGCCTGATAAAACAACTTAATCTGAAACAGAGAACTTAAATAATCACAAAATGCATAACTAAGTTATGAATTGATTGCATTTTGCTAAAGATGAAAACAGACAACTATGAGTTGTATTAGCAGGAGGGGTATCCTCTTATCAGAGGGTCCAAGGAAGGCTTGCCTGATAAAACAACTTAATCTGAGCCCTGAAGGATGACTAAATCATTGTAAGATGATGTGGGTTAGAGGCAGAGCCCAGAGCAGGTGCCTTGAGGCTGGAGGAGTTCAGTTAGGAAGCGAACCCCAGTGTGGTCCTTGTGTGTGTGGTACTGGAGCTGTGAAAAGAGATAATCTGATGGGTAAATACATGAGATTACATTCTTGCAGTGAGGTGTGTGTGCCATTTGCCAGCAAGAGTATTGTTGGTTTGTCACCTACTGGGGCATTTTTTTGTATTCATTTTGTTTAATTTAAATATAAAAGTAAATAGTGTTCCATGATCTGAAAGTCTTGAGAGAATTCTTTCTAAATTACCTAGGGGTAGTCATTCTTGGAACCAAAATGATGCTTACCCAGACACAAAAGATAGGGACCAGTTGTCTAACCACAAACAGTGATTTTTCCGACATTCTCTTAAGACATTTGAAAACAGTCTGTAGCACTTTGGAAAATTTTGTATTTGTTATTGCACATCCAATGTATTAAATAGGACCTAAAAGATTTTAAAGAATTTAAAGGAATATGGCTTAAATCTGGTTTGACATGATTATGCGTTCTGTATTATTTTCTGGTGTTTCATTTAAAAATTTGCATTTGGGATTTGACCCTAAGTGTTGCTGATGGCTTTGTTTTTGTCTCTTGCCTACTTCAGTCTAATGGGATCGCAGCCATCATTGCGATCCTGGTGTTGCTGCTTCTCTTGGGCATTGGTTTGATGTGGTGGTTTTGGCCCCTTTGCTGCAAAGTGGTAAGTAAGATGAGTTTGCAACTCTGCTTTTTTTTTTTTTCTTTTTTCTTAATCAGTAAGTTTTTAAAAATCAGAAGTAAGGCTTGAAATATGAATGAATGCCACATTGTTTAACAACAGCAAAGTTTCAATTAGTAAATTGAATTTTAATAATTTTATCACTGCAATCAGAAAGTAGCATGGTGGTTAAGGCTCTGGACTCCCACATGGCTGACTGCAGTTTGAGTCCTGGATGCCACATGTTGAAAATCACACCAGCCACATATGTCTGTTTGCCCAAAATCCCAAGAGAAGAATGGAGGAAAAGGAATTGTGATGTGGCCATTCCCCCTGAGGGGATGATTTCTTACTTTCATTCTCTCTCCCACTCCCTAGCACATGCACCCTATGGCAAAAACAAAGTAATCATTTTACTACTATAATAAATTCTAGAAAATATGCATATCAATGAACCTTTGTCAAAACCCTTGTTTAAAAAAGCACTTCAAAGTCAGGTTTGTGAGAAGAATAGGGGGAGAAAGGTAGGGGAGGTAATTGGGAAAGAATGTTTTCCTCCAAGTACAAGAGACATTCAAGTAAATTGAATGGTATTTTCTGTTGAATTTATTGAGGGAATCGATCATCTATCAGGGTTTTGTTTTTTTTTTCCTAAGTGCTTACTGAATCTTTTATTTCATCTTTTGAGGCTATACTATTAGGTTGTTGGAAATGTCGTGATATATTTTTGCATAGAAACACAAAGGAACATATGCCATGACATTACCAACAACCTAATAATTTAGGGCCTTCTCTGTTTGCCTCTGAAAAACATTTTAGAAATCAGTCATATGGAGATGTTCAAGTATTCAGTAGTCATTTCTGAAGTAACGGCTGATGATTTTAATTTGTGTCATTCCTCCTGTTTGTGTAAAGCCTGTGAAAGAATAGGACTGTGTATTAGTTTGTTGCTGCTGCTGTAACAAATTGCCACACACTTGGAGGCTGAAAGGAGCTCTGACATGGATCTCATGGGACTTCTGAAATAAAACATTTTGGCGAGGATGCATTGTTTTCTGAATGTTCTACAGGAAAATTCATTTCCTTGCCTTTTGTAGCATCTAGAGGCCACACACCGCCTCCTTGCTGCATAGCCCCTTTCTCCATTTTCAAAGCAAGCCACGTTGCTCACATCTCCCTCTGACTTTAAAGGGAGATTGTAAGGGGTCATGGGACTAGGTTGGACCCAAATGGATAATGCAGGATACTCTTCCATCTCAAGGTCCTAAACCTTAAGCACATCTGCACCGTTTTGTTAATGTTGAAGAATATTATTCACAGTACCAAGGAATGAAGTTACAGTCATCTTTGACTTTCCTCAAGGTAGAAGATTGATTAATAAATTTTAGCACATTTCAAGCAATCCAATTTAGATTATTCAGATATCATGGAAAGAATTTATCCTGAGGAAGCTCTCTCTTTTTTTATTTTGTTAAACTTTATTTATTTATTTAGTCATTTATTTTTAATTTGACCAGAGGGACAATGAGAGAGAGAGAGAGGCAGAGGGAAAGTAAGAAAGCAAGCCGCCAGGTCCAGAATTCAAACCACGGTCGGCCACGTGGGAGTCCAGTGCCCTTAACCAGCATGCCACCTGCCGGCCCTGGGAGCCCTCTTTTAAAGCATGCCTGCTACTTATTTTGAGATTCTTCCTTTTATTATAAGTACATCATTATATAGAACTTTATATTCAGTAGATCATGGTAGTGTTTTACATATTGCTAGACTGCCCCCCACCACCACCTTTGCTAACTGGTTTCAGCTTCTTTGTAATTTCAGGCAGTGCTTTGTATTATATCTGCATTTATTATTAATTGTACTTTAGTCTGCTTTCATGAGGCAACTTTACAATCCTTTATCTCAGAGCAGTTGGCTCATGCAGGAGGCATAGAATTAACTGAGGTTTCAGTAGAGACAAGAAACATCCTGTCTCTTTGCTGAACTAATCAGTTTCCTGCCATAGCAATTTATGCTCAAACAGTTTCCTGTTGTAATCTTGATTATCCTAGATATGGCTATTTTAGGGTGGCTAGTATTCTTGAGTCTTAAATTAAAAAGCAAAAAGGTGGCCTAATGTGATTTGTGCTCCCTGGGTTTTTAATTTAAACCTGGAGTAGTGGATTTCCTTCCATTATTACTGTGCAGTTTCATTCAGTATCGATCAGAAGTCTCAAGGGTTTAAAAGTGTGTGATTTTTTTTTTAAAGCAAAAATCTCATTGGAGGTTGCTAGATATGCTCACATAGAGGTTTCCACCATAATTTTGAGTATTATAGAGCGATTCCATTTTCGAGGGGTGAGTTTAGATCCATTCCAACCCTGGGACTCTTCAGTTCATGAATCATGGAGTTATCTTGAGGCAAGGCATAGAGAGGCCCCGATGTGTGATGTCAGCATGTCAGAAAGGCTTCCTATTTTCAGAAACATCACAAATCCTTTCATTTCTAGAACTTATCAACAGAAAGAACTACCTTTACTTTGAATATTTTTATGAAAGCACCTAGCTCTGAACATGAACATTCTATATTTGTACCTAAGTGTAAATGACTCATAGCAAGTGCTTTCTAAAGTAGGTTTAAATACAGGAACAAAGTAAAGGAAAATCTTGCGTTCATCTCTTCGCAGATATTTATCAGTCATCTAGTAGGTGTCAGTACTGTGCAGGAACTGGGGAGATAAAGATACTTATGGTCTGATATGGAAATTCACTTTTTAATATGGAAACACAGAAATGTGAACAAATATGTGTAACTGAGGGGTCAGTATGAGCCCCAATGGCGACGTGTGTTAAGAACTGTTAGAACATAAAGGAGGATTTGCCAGAGAACAAAGGGGGTGTGTTTTAGAGAAAGACTGAGTTGATGACCACAAGCTGAGTTATAGATGATGAATAAGATGTTGGCAGTTGACGAGGGATGTTTTGGATGAAGCTTTTGTGTATGGAGTTAGAAGTGATCCTGGCATCCTCTGGAAAGTGCTAGGTTAAGACCAGGCATTCCAGGGAAGGGAACGGTGAAAAGTGCTATGGTTTCAGCAAGAGCCCTACTAGGAATGGCTTTCTACATCTTATAGGAAGTCTAACTGTATCCCAGGGATGATGAAGAACCACTGGAGAGAGCTGATTAGGGTAATCACCTGGAAGAAGCTTGACTTGTGTTATAGTACTGCTCAGGTCTGGTCCTGGAGGGACTAGATAAGACTGTATCTAGTGGAGTTCCAGCGATGGAAATGGCAAACTAATGATAATACACCTTAGACATGGGCAGAGCAAAGTCTTTCTCACAAAATATGGGTGGTTAGAATCTTAACCTAGAAGCTAGGTGGACTAGAGAAAATGACAAGGTGACATGAAATGAAGAGGGAAGTGGGACTATGACCTTGTGAAAAGCATCTTGAGATTTTCAGAAGGCATTGTAGTACAATTGCAGTGTATTTTGATTTTGTTCCTTTTATAGAATGCATCTGTGCAATACTTGAATTAGAATGTGGACAGTTAAATAATCCTTAGTCATATTAACTTACTAGGGATCAGTTTGACTTTGTCATTATCAGTAACATAACTTTTTAATGGAAAAATGAAATGCATTTGCATCAACTTGGTGTTGGAAAAATTTCTTTTTGTTTGCGTTTTTTTAAAAACTAGGGTCAAGTATTTTAATCTAATCTTTCAACTGAAACATGACTAAGTAGTTTATAATGTCTGTTCTTAGGCACATTTAAATCCACTTTTGTGGGTGTCATACATTCAAGAACTCTTATCAAGAGAAAGGGCCTAGAGGAAAGCCCCGAACAGAGGCCTTGCTATCTGTCAGATATACTTCATGCAATCATATCATTTTTTTTGAAATACTGAAATATGAAATACTAAGTCATATTTTACAAAATGATTGAATCATTCATTGTTCAGAGATTAAAACTTCAAAGATATCTAATCAATGACTCAGTGATGACAATGTTACTTATAGTTTAGACAGTGATTCTCAATGTTTTTTCCTGCCTCAAATAATGGGAAGGTTCTCAGAGCAGTGGCTGTCAAGTTTCCAATAGTGGAGATTCTCCTTGAAGGAAAGAGTTAGGTAGAGTGAGACTCTTCAGAGGTCAGTGCAGTTTGGAAAATCTCACTGTAGTAAGCTGAAGAAAGGTCTTTAAAGGTATCTATGTCTTAATCACAGAAATCTTGTGTGAATACTACCTGCTTTGGCAAAAAGAGTCTTTGCAGACATGACTAAATTAAGGATCTTGAGAGAGAGGAAGTTTATTCAGGGCACTCTAGGTGGGTCCTCAATGCAATCACGGGTTTTATGAAAGGCAGATTACATTATTGAAGGGGAGAAACACTGTAATTATACAGACAGAGATTAGAGTGGTACAATCACAGGCCAAGGAATGCTGGCAGCCACCTGAAGCAGGAAGAGGCCAGAAACAGATTCGCCTCTGGATCCTGCAGAATTTACCAGCTCTGCCAATACCTGATGGCTAATCCTGTAAGATTCAGTTCAGACTCCTGACTGCCTGAACCATAAGAAAATAGATTTCTGTTGTTTTTTGGAGAGGTTTTTGCTATAGGGCATGTGCACTTGCCAGAAAGAGACAGTCAGAAAACGAGAAATCACCGCAATTGGTCACACCGCAATCCTTTCTCCTCCATTCTCATCTCAGGATCTTGGGCACGCACGTACACATGCCTGGTGTGAATTTAAGCCACCAGGTCCAGGACGCGAACTGCAGGAGTCTAGCAACATTACACCAACTGTTGGTCCCAGATTTCTGTTGTTTTAAGCCACTAAATTTGGAACAGTTTATTATGGTGGTGATAAAAAACTGATATGTCTCTTGAATGGTTCCAATTTCTCCAGGACTGGGAATACTTATTAGGGTTATATGTTTTGAGAATTCTTATATATTTACAGATCAACTTTTTATAAAAAGGAAATGAAAACAAACAAAAAAACTTCAACTTTTCAT